GATAGTATTGACTACAAAGATGGTGAATCAAGTATTGTCCGGATTGAGAGCATATTTACTTGGCAAGAACTCATCATATTTGTGTGGAACGATGTTGCATAGGAAGGAGAAGAGTATGCAAGATGACTTACCGTATGCCGGTTTACAAGGATTATGCACTTGTATATGAAGGATCAGTTTTGTCTGACGATGATGACATTAATATGATGGTGAGATTTATTGCAGAGAACAGATTTCCAACTGCTTAGTTGTATGTCGAGACAGAAGTTTTTAGCCAATATGGTGGCGTCGGTATACTGAACAAGGTGAAGGATCGGGAGGATTTTCCGGTTCAGGAGATTTCAGAGTCCTGCACGATGCACCATGGCCAACATATGAGGATCGAACTGCAACTGGTCCATTGGTGGAACATGACGGACATGAGTAGCCAGTGTGGGGTGAAGAATGGGATTACATAAGGGCACCCAGACAGTCACCCAGACAAGCATCTACACCAGCATCTGGCATCAACAATGATCCGTATGTGGATAAACCAAGTCCTCCGTACACTAGCGAGGCAAGCGACATGGAAGATGAAGAGTTAGAATAAATGAGTAGTTCAGATGGTGAAGATCTGGAAGTTGATGAGGGGGAATTTGAGCCCCCCACACCTCACTACACGATGGTGCCACAACATCCTCTCTATGCTCACAGCGACGATCCCAACCTCCCTCCTATACCAATCTGGACTCCTGACTCTGGATTCGTGGTTGGCCAAACATTTGGAGGAAAGCCTCAAGTGGTCGATGCATTGAAAGAAACTGCTATGCGAAGAAGCTTTCAATATCGTGTCATCACTTCTGACACTAAACAAATTCATGTTCCTTGTGAGAACCATGGCGACGGATGCATGTTGCATGTTCGGGCGACATATGTTAAAAGAAATGGGGCTTGGCTCATTCGTAAGACAGACAACAACCACACTTGTAGGTCGTCACTGATTTCTCTAGATCACCGACAATTGAGTGAAGGAAGATTGCACAAACAATCAAACATCTGATTGAGGCACAACCTGGGATCACCGTGAAGAGTGGCATCGCTGAAGTGAAGAATCGACATGGCTATACCATCAGTTACAAGAAAGCATGACATGGGAAGCAAAAAACTATGATTTCTGTGAACTTTCTATTATTGCATCACCATCGATTGGAAGCCCTGTCAGCATGGTTACGTCCTTCAACGTAATCATCATCTCTCCCTCTAGAAGGTGGAATGTGTGCGTTTCTTTTCTCCATCTTTCCACCATTGCCGTAAGAAGTTTGTTTTCCATCTCCATCCCCACAAACTTTCGCACCCTCAGCAATCGCGCTCTTTCAATGAAGGGCTCGATACGATCATCCCATTTAGGCAAGCGAGATAGCGACCGATGGGTGATTACGTCAAGTTGTTCCAGTAGAAAAAAAATATTAATTATTATACGAAAAAAAATTAGAAGAATACTATCACATTTAAAAAAAGAAAAGTACATGAGGAAGTGCCTACCCGATCTGCCGCCCAAACACTTTTAGACCGATGGTAAGGTTGCTCATCCAACAAATCGTTTTCTCGCGGTCCGCCTTGAATGTATAATCTAGGATCGTAAATACTCGGATCCATCTCGACAATTTTGAGTTATAGAAGTACCAAACTAAAGAAAAAAAATATGATGCGGAAGATCAGGCTTAGCCGCAACCACAGAGCATATTTTTTTCTTCAAGAGTGGTGGGAGGAAGAGAGGAAGAAGAATGGAGTGGTGTGAGTTTTGGTGGAATGGGAGGGGGTATTTATAGGTTCTGTGGGAGAGTGGATCGAGTTTACAAAACTCGAACCAGTGCATCGATTTTAGGGCGCTCAATCCGCGTCAAAAGCAGTTCATGGTTAGGCGCATCGAATGCCCAGATCGAGGTTAGGGTACTCGATCAACGATAGATCGAGCCTGACATCAGCGATCCGCGTCAAATAGATCGATTAACGGGGACTCGTTCTACTGCATCGAGTTTCACCCACTCGATCCGCGTCATCCCTACTAAGCGAATTTGTCAATCGAACGGCCTTGATCGAGTTTAGGGTACTCGATCGACGGTAGTGCGCGCCTGACGTCATCGATCCGCGTCAATCAAATTGATTACCGCTGACTCGATCTACTTACTTCGAGTTTCCCACACTCCATCTGGCTCATCAATGCTTCGCTAGTTGAGAAATTGAACGGCCTAGATTGCTTCCTGGTACATCGATCTAGGGTGGATCGGTGCATAGATCATCGAACCAGGTCTTGTTGTTCGAGTTTTCCATCCTCGATGCACGTGGATCGATTTGTTGGCAGTCGATCCGATACTAGTTAGAGTTTGTTGAACTCGAACCGTGTCAAACTTTGGTAGTTTGGGAATTTTTTATAAAAGTAATGTATTCTGGGAATTATTTTTAATTATTACTGTATTTAGGGAATTAATCCAATTTTGACCTAGGTGTTTGAAGTTTTTGACTGAATCCAGGTTAATGGACAATTGAGCTACCCTCTCTGTATAAACAGTCACAGGACTTTTTGATGGTCAAGTACTTTTCGAAATCATAAATCACGACGTTTCTGGAGCCCGATAAGGAATTTGGGTTTGAGCTCAACCAATCTGACTTTCTGGAGCAGATCCGGTGAGTAACCTTGTGGGGAGTAACCCCATGCATAACCCAATAAGAATCTGCCACATCAGCGCCTTATTCTCTCTCCTGGAAAAATCATTAATTTTCTTTCTCTTAATCTTTAACGGACGATTTCTCACTCGTTTTAACTCGAAATTTAATTTTTTTTTGCACAATTAGATCACATTAATTGTGCTCTTCAAAATGATATCCACTTTGATATTTTTTGGAACAAAAAAAATTGCCAATTATTACCAGTCTATACCATATGGTATTGACTATACCATATGGTATTGACTGGTATTAAATAACAGCATACCAGTCAATACCATATGGTATTAAATAACAGCATACCATATGGTATGAAAAATACCACCTCATACCAGGGTGGTATAGTATTGTATGGAGTTAGTAACGAGAGGTTTGAAAATTTTTCCCCATAAAATTTTGAAATCCAATAGATCATGATTAAATCGTTCCTTTTGTGCAAAAATATCCGAAAATGACTAAACAACTAAGGAGATACCATATGGTATGGAGTTGGTAACGAGAGGGATGAAAAATATTTTTCGCAAAAAATATTGAAAATGCATATCATTTTGTAGAGCACAACAAAATCGTTCCATCTGTGCAAAAAAATTGAAATCCGAGTTAGAATGAAGAAGATATGATCCAACTAAGAAAACTAGGAAAAATAAATTCCTTTAATTCTCCACCCTTAGATCTGCAGTCACTTAAAAGAAGGGTTCATATTTGATTACTCATTGTTACTCACTCTAAGGTTACTCACCCTATCTTGAACCCTGACTTTCGGGATCAAAAACCAGATTGACAACCATGGTATAAACAGAAAGTTAGAAATTAAGAAGAAAGGAAACTGTGGCTTTTTGGTGAATGAAAGCACGTGGGAGAGGGTGCATAAAAGTTAGTAGAGATCCACATGGAAAAAAAGGTTCCTTTTTTCTTTCTACCAAATTTAGTTATAACAAAATTCCTTAATACTTTGTTTGATCTCTCTAGACTCTAGCTTTCCACATAATAAAATTGTATTCCGCAAAAGTTTTCTAATTATAGTAGTTAATTGGTATAGTGGTATTTTTATTTTAACTGGGATCATGATGTTCTCCAACCCTATGAACATTTGATAAACTCATAGGAAGTAATTTACGATTTACCGTATTATTGGAATCTATCAAGAATTGTTTTCCCAAAAGGGAAAATTTTCATCATTCTCACGTATTAATCTTTTAATAGTTAGAGCCAATTATTGTGGGTTTATCGTGCCTATGTTTTGTCTGTCTTTTAAAAAAGTCAATTATTTGTGGGTTTACCGTGCCTATGTTTGGTCTGTCTTTTAAAAGTGTTTTTCGACCAAACACGTCTAAAAGTTTGGTTTTTGAAACCATTTTATATAACATAAAAGCAAAAATTATGAAACACTCAACTAGGGGTGGGCAATGAGCGGGTTGGGTGGATTTTAGTCTAAAATTGACCCACCCGCTTACTAGTGGGTTGGAATATATGTGACCCGCAATCCACCCACATACTTATGCGAGTTGGGTTGGGTGGGTAACGGATGGGTGCGGTTGGGTCTCGGGTTAACCCGCAAAAGCAATTCTCCAACTAGGCATTAAGAAAATTGACTAACATTTATAATAAGTTCATAGCAAATTAGTAAGATTGTATCAATAATTTGTAATTTTGATACAATTAATAATTTGTAGTTTGTATCCCGATATTTAATAGATATTAACAATAATTTGCATACCAATATCCATTGCCAATGGATATTGCACAACACATTAACCAATAATAGTAGTCAAAACTATTCTTTATTCTCCACTTTTTGAAGTATATGGTGAGACTATAGTGCAGTTCGAAAATATGATAAATATTCGATCCTATAAGAAACAACATTTTTCCATGGAAAAATAGGACGCTGATCATACGGGTGACCCGCAATCCACCCACATAAGTGCGGGTGGGAGATTTTACAATCCGCAATCTACCCACATCAATCACCCATTGCGTGCGGGTCGGGTTATTTGCGGGTGTATCGATGTCAATCCGCGGATTAACCACCCACGTTACGTTACTACCCTACACTCAACTGCTTTTTTATAAAATACTTCTTCAAAAGGTTACCGCTAGAAGCTGATCCGGCAAAAGCTACCGCAATCCAAATTAGGCAACCAATAGACAATAATAAATAAATAAATAATGAGAATATTAAAAGAATGGTAACAAGGGAAAGGGAACAGATCCCTGTTGTAGCGGTGGTAGCAGCTTAGCTATTGACGTGTGGAGTGGAGTATATAAATTGGTGGTTAGGTTGCGTTGCGTTGCATTGCATTGGATCCTTCGCCCCTACAATCCATCCCCTTCTTTAACGTCTTCTTGCCAGCCCAGCCAGTATTCTTATTTCTTCCTCTCTCTCTCTCTCTCTCTCTCTCTCTCTCTCTCTCTCTCTCTCCCTCTCACCTGGACTGGATCGATCTGCAGCTGCTGGAATTGAATTCCCCAAAACCGATCCAACTTTTGGCAGCTTCTGCAACCGATCGCTTCCCTCATCACCCATCATCGTCTCCGATCGACACACTCTCTCTCTCCTGGGTCCTGTTCTGATGAACAGAAGCTGGGTCGTGTAAATTGGGTTCTTTTTGTTCTGGATGTCATCTCGATCGGCTGAGTGGTATTGCGATCGGATTAATTTTTGTAGTGTAATTTTGGGGAATTTCCGGTTTCTTGTAATTTCCCCCCTTCAGTTTCATCCATCATGATGATGAAGGCATCAGAATTGAAGCCGTTATCAGAGCTGGCCCAGGTACCGAATCCCGAGGAGGAGGAGGAAGAGAAAGAAAAAGAGGAGAAGGCGGTTCTTCTTCCCTTTCCCAAAAAAGATATTCTCGTTCTCGATGGTCCCGCCCTAATCCTCCGACGTCCCAGCTCCTCCTCGGCGACGGTTGTGGAATCCGATAGCTGCCAGGATCCGCCCGAGTCCGAGATCCTCATCGCGCCTCCTATTAACCCACAAGAGTACTCTTCTCCGTCATCATCGGCATCGAGCAACCGCGACGACGACCGAAATAGTCGCCCCAACGAAGACGGAACGCCGGTGCAACCGCTACAAGATCAAGGGGGAATACCCAGACGCATTTTGGTTACGACTCCTAAACTGGAGGAGGTGAAATTGGCGTTTTCCGGAGGAGAAATCGATGTTGATCAAGAAGATGGGATGAAGACTCCCACTTCTCCGGCAAGCAAAATCTCGCCCATCCTTTCCTGCCCGCCGGCTCCCCGGAAGCCGGCGTCTCGTCCGATCCACACCAAGCGCAAATTGGCCGCCCGCAGAGTGCTGTTTCAGGATTACTCCGACGAGATTCAGGCCCTGTTTTCTCCGAATATCGCATCGGATTCCGCCGCCGGCAAGATCAAGAAAGTACGACTACCTCGACCCTAGTTTGTTGGCTATCGTCTAGCTACCGGCTGCTGGCTGGCTGGGCGGATCTGAATCTCTAACCCACAAATGTAACCTCCCCAGCAGCCTGCTCTAATAGAGTAATTAGTACTCCTCGATGGTTGATTAGCCCTCCAACCCGTGATTTGTATGTGTTACATGATCTCCTTCTGTTTTCTATGGAGAAAAAAAACGCTGGAGGTGATGATCAAGTATATTAGTAAATCGGTGAATTGATCTGATATATAGGAGCAGGCAGCACATTTAGCTTAATTGTAACTTTAGTAATCTCTCGTCTCGTGTTAATTAATTTTGCTTCTGTTTCTTCTTTTACTTTACATATGTGTACAAGTATATGCATAGATCGAGATTACTGTTTCCATCTCGATCCTCAACCTCTGTCATTGATGGAATGAAACGTGCACTGCTGCAAGTTCCTTTTATCTGAAGCATGCCTGCCGGCCTGGCGGGGGGATATAATTAAGGGGTTGGAGTACACTACCATTAACGGTACAGATTTAGAGATGCTTGATTTAGAATCCAATTAAGCAATACTTAATTTGCTGCAGCAGATGGAGCTAGAAAAAGGCAAAAGGTTGGGTTGGGTGAGAGTGATGATGGCTTGCAAGTTACGAGAGATAGAGTGTGCGTCATTATGGTTGATGATGGAGAATTGATAAGCAAGCCATGCCATCGCCATTGGATCCTTTTTGGAGCTCGGTGGGTGGTTGATTAATTTGTTTGTTGGATGGATGGATCCACACTCCGGACCACACCAGAGCAGAGAGAGACGGCAGCATGGGAGTGGGAATTATGGTATGGGTGGACTTTAGATCAGTTTGTTCATCATAATGCTTAATGCCTCTCCTTCCCTCCATAATTCAGCCCACAAGGATTATCATCATTATAGTTATAGATCCCATCTTTCTATAATATTATATGTAAAAGCACATTTATGCTTCTTCTTTTTTTTTTTTTCTGAGCCAAATCTCTTGTCGTTTTCTTCTCTCTTTTGTCAGTCATGTTATTCAGTATTTCAGTTGACTTTTGTCGTTGCTCGTCAAGGGATCCAATGGAGCAGTAGTGAGCCTGTGACTGAGTGGTGCACTAGTCTACTCCTAGGTTGGTTAGTTGGTTTAATTTTTACGTGTTTGCAGCTTCTGCCATTTGACTTATCTCTCTCTCTCTCTCTCTCTCTGCATCTTTCTCCTTCTTATTCTTGTAGAAAAAGGATAAAAAGAAGGTGGTAGTTACTAGGTGTGGTGGGCGGGTGAGCAAACCCAGGCAGGCAAGCAGCAGGTTTAATCTTTCTTTCTTTCTTTCTTTCTTGACAGCAGCAACCACAGGATTCAAGTACTGGAATAATAGGAATTTTGGGAAGGCGTGGATATTCCCCTTTTTCTGCTGCATGCATGTGTCATCGTGTCTTCATCAACAATATATATATATATATATTATTAAAACCTGTAAAAAATCCAAGTACAAAATAAACTAAACATGTCCTCTCTTTTTCCCTCCTTTTAGCACAATTCCAACGCCAAAGCCACAAACCCGATGCAGCCATTAGCTTGCCTTCCCCAAGATCAGATATGTACACTTCTTCTCCTACAGATTTGAGGATTCGCACGTCAAAATTATATGATATATCAACATTTATGTGCTTCAATATAAATGCTTGTTTACCAATATAATAGGAGAGAACATATTTCGTTATCATTACTAGCTAGGGACGAATCCACTGGAACCCAAATTACCATGGCTTAATTGATGTAAACAGCTTGCAATCGATGGGTTTAACAAGTGTGTACTAGTATATATGATTGATGGAACTTTTCCTTGTAGAATTTGCATCATCAACTAGAACTTGTAAGAGACACATGATCTTTGATTTTCCAGCATCCAAGGGAAACAACACTCATAATTGCATGTGGGGAACACTCCAAAAGTTGAATGTGATACCTAGGTGTACGTAATTATAAACATACCTTAATTGTCAAATTACCATCGGACGATTGCCATGTTTGCGGTATGCAAAATCAGCACCTTTTGCTTGGATGTCGCTTACGCCACTACCCTCCAGTAAAAAAATCGGATGTTCAAGGACACATATGAATTAACCCGTTTTGTAGAACAACCAATTGTTTTATTAAGAGAAGCTAAGAGGAACAACTTTTCTGAGAAATGATGTCATCAGATCCATACCAGATTATATGTACGGTTTATTTAGGATGGAGGCAACTCGTTATTTGGAATTCTTAAATTGTTTGTGTTGTAGGATGTATACTATCGAAGTGAGCTCATGCTTCTTTGTTTTGTCAATTATACATATTTAAAATTTCATTAGGAGAAAATATGATTGAAGAAAAGTTAAAATATGAAAAATATAAATATAAATAGAGGAAAATTAAAATAGGATGGGTCAAGAATGGAGTGGGGTGAGATGAGTCAGGTCAAAAATAATAATTCATGTCCCATCCTATGCTACTGTGGGCCGGGTAGTACCCGCTCCAACATGAGTCAGATCGGCCCATACCATTGTAATAAGAATCGAATCGGATCACCGGCTGGACTAGTAAAACCACCAGTTCAACTAGAATAGCGGTTCGACCATTTGCTTGGATGGTAAGGATGAACCGAATGATTTAATATGAAACCAGATAAACCACCTTAATTTACTAGTCCACTAGCTAGTTCGTTATTTTAACCCGACGATGCGGGTTTAAATTATTATCTATAATCAGCTCTATTTTTTCCGACTTTCAATTTTTTTCTATAAGGAAATTTTATTCCTAATGAGACGGGCCGTTAAGGTAAAAACGGTTATGGCGTCATAACTCATAAAATATCCGAACGCTATTACAACAAATCAACAAATCTTCGATGCATGAAACATTTTCTGGTTAAATCTCAATTCTCAAGTATAAATGTGTCATCCGAATGAGATTCCCAAACAGGCATCTTCATAATTGCACTTTGGTAGCGTTGCACACGGAACAGCAATGGAAAGAAGCTGGCCTGGCAGGAACTACTACAATTAAGAATAGATCTCTCTGTTGGCTGACAAAATGCATTACAATAAATAATAATAACACACCAAATTCCCAACAACTGAGATTTTGCATATAATGGTGGGTTTTGATTTTGAAGACAAGAGAAAGAGGCAGCAGGAGGACTAGAGAGAGCGAGGCGTTACGGATTTGGTGCGTTTCAGCGCGTTTTATTTAATCGTATTAATGCACAGTGAGTGAGTAACAAGTGGGCTTTTACTAATCCAAAGCATCCTAAGAGGTCGGGACAGAGCAAGACAACTGTAGTGGTTGGGGCGGTTCCAAATAGGAACGTACATGGGTTAGGTTCAGGTCCTTAAGTCTACTAACTTAAGAATTATCTTAAGTCATTTCTATTAGTTGATAATAATTTAGGTAGTTAATAGATTGTTAGTAGTTAATTGGTGGTTAGAGGTAATTAAGATAATAATAACTAATTAATTAATTAGAATATTAAAAAACTAACAATTACGGCCGCACTCATCTGTTACCTCCCTAAGCCCTATTAAATGGCGTCCTTGTCAAGCGTGTTGAAACGCAAAATCCCACATATTCGTCTCCGCAAGCTTTTCATCACCGGCGGTGGTCTTCCTTCGGCCGCCACTCCGATACTTTAGGCAACCACCACCAGGCAAGATCCGGCCAATTCTCCTCCTCCTCGCGAGTTAACTCTCTTAGTGTTCATGGATATTTTCTCATCGGAGGTGTTGGTAATGGATACGGAATGTCGTCGTCGCTCATCTACGATGGAAGATATGGCGCTTAGGATATTGGTGGCTCCTATTCGGTGATATGTTGTTGCGTAATGCGTATGATGTGAGGTATACGTTGAAAAATGATGAGAAATCGTTAATAATGTTATTGTAAAGCATTGATATGTATATTGAAATCATTAATAATATGGCTAAACATTAATTTCATATACTCTAAGAATGACAATGTAAATCGATAATAATTTATCACAAAATGTTAATGATATCATTAGAAGTCATTTTAAGAGGTCATGATTGACTAGTTATGGACATGATGTGAAAACATGAATCATTAATAAAGATATTGTAAATCAAATATAATGTTATTCAAATCGTTAATAGCAATGTGACATAACTTTAATAATTAATTCTTAAGCGTTGATTATAAAAATATTTATCGTTAATGGTCTAATGTCATTTTTCAATTATTGTTAACATTTTTGTTTTAATTTTGAACATAATAAAATATTATTTAGAACGTTTTTAATGACATATGATACTTAACATTGAATTTGGTTATTATTAATAATTTTCTGTTGGTTTTCAATGAAATTCAATTTTATTTTCAATGACATTCTTATTCATTATTAACAGTTTTCATTACATGTATTAACGGTTTGATGTCATTTTTAATCGTAATATATCATTGTTAATATTTTTGCTTTAATTTTGAACGTAATACAACAATCTTGTACTTTTTGGCTGGTATTTGATACTTAACACTGAGTCTAAACATTATATTTTTGTGCTTGTTTTCAACAAAATACAATTTTGCTATCATTGATCGATGAGATCGTTAATGTAAACCGATATCAGTTGATTGCAAAACATCAACAATGTCATTGAAAGTTGTAATAAGAGGCAATGATTTGCTAGTTATGAACATGACATGAAAACATGAATCGTCATAAAGATGATGTAAATCTATGATAACTTTGTTTAACCCTTTAATGACAATGTGACATAACTTTAATAATTCTTTGATAATTGTTGATGATCGAAATGTATATCGTTAGGAGTTGAACTAAAATTGTAATAGTGTAATTGTAAAATATTGACAAGTATATTAAAAATGTTAATAATGATGAGATATATAAATAACAATTCATTTCATAAACATTGATAATGAAATTGCAAATGTCAATCATGTCATTGTAAGTTGCCAGTAGGCATTCTGAATTTAAAATTTCCTTTTTTTATACGTAAAATATTACTTACGAATTTCTATTTTAAATCCAAATTTTATTAACTATAAATAATGATATTTAATTAATATTTACCACTTTAGGTGGTTTAAACCTCAATTTCTCTCTCCTTCTCCTATTGGCCAAAACAAACTTAAGAAACTCCTTAAGTTTTAGACTTAAGGACGGGATCCAACCCGAATATACATAAATGATCAGTCTAGAGGACGTAAGCATTTGTTCAACTAATCCTTGCCTCAAAGTTGATAATGCTAATAGTGTATAAAAACAAAGAAGAAAGTCGCGAATTGACTCGATAAAACCGGTTCTTCCCCATTGTCCTGTTTGTTGGGCTACTGATTGAAATCTAAAATTAGGTTCTATCGGATTTATGGATTTGGGCAAAGAATTGATCACCAAGGTGGTGATCTAGGGTTGATTATGAGAT